GTGTCTTATTATAAGTATTAGAGTAGGGTTTGTTTATATAGCGGCATAGAGCTATTTTATAATTTCCACTGTTTGTACAATTTTGCATAACGTAAAGAGAATATTAAATACACGCACATTGCTAAAACATATTAAAAGGATCAATGTCAAATATAGTTTTCGTTAATATTCCTAGAAAAAGTGGATACATTTTAATAACATAATAACTGTAGGGTAGAAAAATCAAATTAAACTGTTTAGTAATTTTGCCAAGGGAGGTATTTTAAAAATAAATTGAACTCACGCTAAAAATGTAAATGCAGAATCTGCAAGACGGAATAATTGTTGGCATAATATAATTAGCAAAATGTGAATGCAAATTATGCAGACGTGTAAGAGTACATTATTGTTGGAATATTATAATTAGCATTGATTGATAAAAGGCTATCTTTTATTTATTTTATTCACTGAATGTAATGTTTACTACTTATAATTTTTAATCAACTATTAAGCACTATTATAGACGCGTCATCACGTTCATTAGGTGCGCAATGGTTTTAGTTATGAAACTCTATTGTAAATTTTTAAAATTTAAAGTACTGGAAAAAAAATGCGTGAATGGATAAAGTGAAATATTTAGGTAAAACACGGATAATTTAAATACTGCCTATTATTTATACTGTTTACTAATTATTATTCTATCTTTCGGTTTGCGGACAAGATAGGGGTTTTATAGGAGAGGCGTAGCGAGGGGGAGGGGGGGGGGGGCATATGTCCCCGGGTGCCGACCTTAGGGGGCGCCAAAGTGGGTTGGAAAAAATTTGCGAGGGGGGGTGGAAATCTTAAGTATTAGGCGGGGGGGGGGGCAGGGGTGCAAATCGAAAGTTTGAGGGGGGTGCAAATCACCGGAAAGGGCGCGATTTGGCGCTACGGGCTAGACTGTGAGCAATATGCCTTTATGATTGCATTTCAGATGTGTTTATGTTATGAGTATTTAGTTGTTTTTTTTTCGTTTGTGTTTTTTTTTGCGTTCGTTTGTGTTGTGTTTAGTTTTGTTCTGTTCCCAAGTTGGTACATTTAGAAAAGATTTACCGTGGCGGAGCACGGGATGCAGCTAGTCTATAATATAAGCGGGCTGTGTCTGTCCTTCCTTCCTTCCTTCCGTCCGTCATCGCTATAGCTTTTGGAACCATAAAAGTAAACATTCGCACCATGCTGTGCTTTTCAGTGCACCGCAGTGTCTTATTATAAGTATTAGAGTAGGGTTTGTTTATATAGCGGCATAGAGCTATTTTATAATTGCCACGGTTTTTACTCTTTCGCATAACGTCAAGAAAATATTAAATACACGCAAACTGCTAAAACGTATTAAAAAGATTAATGTCAAATATCATTTTCGTTTAGGTTCCCAGAAAAAGTGGATACATTTTAATAAGATAACAACAGTACGGTAGAAAAATCAAATTAATTTAACTCTTTTCTAATTTTGACAAAGGAGGTAATTTAAAAATACATTAAACTCACGCTAATAAAAAATGTAAATGCAAATATACGTTCGTCATAGAAGGAATTAGTGTTGCAATAATATAATTAGCAAAATGTGAATGCAAATTATTCGGATGTGTAAGAGGAAATTATTGTTAGAAAATTATAATTAGCATGGATTGATAAAAGGCAATCTTTTATTTATTTTATTCACTGAATGTAGGCCCTACTGTTTATTACTTATAATTTTTAATCAACTATTCTGCACTATTAAAGACGCGTCATCACGTTCATTAGGTGCGCAATGGTTTTAGTTATTAAACTCTTTTGTAAATTTTTAAAATTTAAAGTACTGGAAAAAAATGCGTGAATGGATAAAGTGAAATATTGTAGGTAAAACACGGATATTTTAAATACTGAATATTATTTATACTGTTTTCTAATTATTATTCTATCTTTCGGGTTTTATAGGAGAGGCGTAGCGAGGGGGGGGGGCATATGTCCCCGGGTGCCGACCTTAGGGGGCGCCAAAGTGGGTTGGAAAAAGTTTGCGATAGGGGGGGGGGGTGGAAATCGAAAGTTTTACGGCGGGGGGGGGGGGGGGGGGGAGGGGTGCAAATCGAAAGTTTGAGGGGGTGCAGATCACCGGAAAGGGCGCGATTTGGCGCTACGGGCTAGACTGTGAGCAATATGCCTTTATGATTGCATTTAAATTGTGTTTATGTTATGAGTGTTGTGTTTGTTTTTTCGTTTTTTTTTTTGTTCTTTTTTTGCGTTCGTTTGTGTTGTGTTTAGTTTTGTTCTGTTCCCAAGTTGGTACATTTAAAAAAGATTTACCGTGGCGGAGCACGGGATGCAGCTAGTATAATATAAGCGGGCTGTGTCTGTCCTTCCTTCCTTCCGTCCGTCCGTCATCGCTATAGATTTTGGAACCATAAAAGTAAACTATGCACCATGCAGTGCTTTTGAGTGCACCGCAGTGTCTTATTATAAATAATAGAGTAGGGTTTGTTTATATAGCGGCATAGAGCTATTTTATAATTTCCACTGTTTGTACAATTGTGCATAACGTAAAGAGAATATTAAATAAACGCACATTGCTAAAACATATTAAAAGGATCAATGCCAAATATCGTTTTCGTTAATATTCCTTGAAAAAGTGGATAAATTTCAATAACATAATAACAGTACGGTAGAAAAATCAAATTAATTTAACTCTTTTTTTCTAATTTTGACAAAGGAGGTAATTTAAAAATACATTAAACTCACGCTGATAAAAAATGTGAATGCAAATATACGTTCGTCATAGAAGGAATCAGTGTTGCAATAATATTATTAGCAAAATGTGAATGCAAATTATTCGGATGTGTAAGAGGAAATTATTGTTTGAAAATAATAATTAGCATGGATTGATAACAGGCAATCTTTTATTTATTTTATTCACTAAATGTAGGCCCTACTGTTTATTACTAAGACTTATAATTTTTAATCAACTATTCTGCACTATTATAGACGCGTCATCACGTTCATTAGGTGCGCAATGGTTTTAGTTATGAAACTTTATTGTAATTTTTTTAAATTTAAAGTACTGGAAAAAAAATGCGTGAATGGATAAAGTGAAATATTGTAGATAAAACACGGATATTTTAAATACTGCCTATTATTTATACTGTTTACTAATTATTATTCTATCTTTCGGTTTGCGGACAAGTTAGGGGTTTTATAGGAGAGGCGTAGCGAGGGGGGGGGGGCATATGTCCCCGGGTGCCGACCTTAGGGGGTGCCAAAGTTGGTTGGAAAAAATATGCGAGGGAGGGGTGGTGGAAATCGAAAGTTTTAGGGCGGGGGGGGGGGGGGGGAGGGACAGGGGTGCGAATCGAAAGTTTGAGGGGGGTGCAAATCACCGGAAAGGGCGCGATTTGGCGCTACGGGCTAGACTGTGAGCAATATGCCTTTATGATTGCATTTAAATTGTGTTTATGTTATGAGTGTTGTGTTTGTTTTTTCGTTTGTGTTTTTTTTTGCGTTCGTTTGTGTTGTGTTTAGTTTTGTTCTGTTCCCAAGTTGGTACATTTAAAAAAGATTTACCGTGGCGGAGCACGGGATGCAGCTAGTATATATATATATATATATATATATATATATATATATATATATATATATATATATATATATATATATATATATAGAGCATATATGTATGCTGGATAAAATTTGTACCCCCTCCCCCCCCCCCCCCCTTCATGAGACTGAATTATTATGCAAGTTAAATATGGTTAAAGTACACACATTTTAATAAGTAATTTCTTGAAAGCTGTTCCTCTTTTTATCTCTTGGGTAGCAGGTTTAGTAAAATTATTTTAATAGATGTGATTCTATATTCTAGCGTGTACTTTTGTATAATTTGTTTTAATATACACGATTGTATTATGTATTTTTATATCTTGGCCCCAATTGTGGATGGTTTATTCTAAGACTGTTAAAACAGCCTGGTGATTTATATTGGCGTTGCTGATCTCGTTTAGTGTATAGTTGTTTGTGTGTATAATAGTGTTGTGTATGTGTGTGGGGAAGTGACGGGGTGGGTGTGGTAGATGTGAGAGTGTTTGTGTATGTGTGGTAAATGTGATGGTGTGTGGTAAATATAAGAGTGTGTGGGTGTGGGTGTGGTAGTGTGATAGTGTGTGTGGGGGTGTGGTAGGTCGAGAGGATTGTTACTAGTGCTACACTTTAAAGGTTGGGGGGAGGGGTTCAGCAACTGATTGAAGAGTATGTCAACAGTAACTCAGTTCTAAATAACAGTTTGCGGGAGAAGGTGACCTATTGTATATCATACCGTCTGTTACAACAGGCACGGTCTAAGTATGTCCAGGTAAAGGTTTGAAATGTGTTCTCAAAACACATACACTAGTGTACAGCACATTCAACAGCCAACAGGTTTTATGTTCATGTATCAGGTCTGTTGTGTTTGTGTGTGTTTGCCAATTGTAATACTGATTTACGACGTCTATTTGATCTAATTATAGACTTCGATTAGTAGACCCATGACGGAGGCGTTTCGCAGATATTGACGTAATTATGAGACAGATTTATGGTACCTATTCAACTACACACGAGGAACAGCGGAATACAGACATACGTCTGTAAAGTAAAGATATCAATTGTTTGAAGTTGGATACTGTACGGCCATATCTTACACACTGAAGTAGAATATAGCATGGCCATACGGTATTTCGCTTGTAGTTGGATACAACATGGCTATACCGTAAATAAATTGTAGTGGAATATTGTGTGCCATACCGCTCATAGATTGTAGTGGAATGCTGTATGCCATACTGTACACAGATTGCAGTGAAATATGGCATGGTTATACAGTATTGAGTACTACTCCATACAGAGCATTATTAAAGCCATAAAATGCCTGTCTTGGGTGAAATACAAGCGTCGATAAGAATACATTGATTTCTTCCTAGTAGAGTATTTAAAAGGTATGGATCACTTTGTGTAACGGACTTTCTTTAAATTGTGATCTGAAAGCAATAGGGAATAGACTACTTTTAATTCTTTAGTTGGGATTGTAGTTTTATTTCGTGGATCATACTATACGTATACAAAACATTCGTTTATGATCACACATTTTTATTTACATTACTTGTGTTTTTTCTTTACTTCCGTGTCAATTAGTTTTCTTAACCCGTTTTGGCATTGGTTCTTCTCTTTTCATCGTGCCGGGTTAAGTTTTAAATCTTAGAGTGGACATAAGTATGGTCTACTTCCTCTTGGAGTGACCACAAGTCTACTTCCGATCTGGCTGTCTAGCTAGACTAGCTGTAGCTTCAGCCATGGGTCACTACAGATGTATGCTAGCGATCAGCTGGGTCATCTTCACCCTGGCTGGAGCCATGGTCAGTGTCTCCATGTTTCTTCCATACTGGCTCCAGCTTGACCAGGCCACTGAACATTTCGCTGGTCCGAGAAGCTTCCAGAACAATTCCACAGGTAAAGGTCAACATTCGGTCTAGCCATTCTACAGGTAAAGGTCAACATTTGGTCTGGCTATTCCACAGGTAAAGGTCAACATTTGGTATGGCTATTCTACAGGTAAAGGTCAACATTTGGTCTGGCTATTCTACAGGTAAAGGTCAACATTTGGTCTGGCTATTCTTACGTTATACGGTGAAGTATTTAGCGGCTATTCCAAAATTATTGAATATAAGACCAACTGAAGAGTACACATGTAACTGTTAAATGATTATTTTGTTTTTGGCATTTGACAATATAACATAAGCATTTAACGTAATACTATACATATTTGATCACAAAATATTATTGGTTATACCTAAATATAGGTAATTTTTCAAGCAAAGAGCAAGCAGTTTAGCTAATAAATACATATAAAAAAATATATACATTTAATTTCCAATCATATTTTTGCTTAACAAAATTAATTTAAAAAACAAAAAAAAACAAAAAACAATCACTTATTTTACCAACTGATTACATAATCTCCCCACTAACACTATCACCACAACATCCCTACTGCTACCAACAAACAACATGATTCCCACCATTACGCCACACAACTACCACAACTAGAGCCTCCACATCCATCCATAATACCTCCTCCACAAAAAACAACTCTACTATTACAGACTTCCTTCCTTCCTTATACGGAAATCGGTTCAGAAGGTTGACTTCCATTAGCCAGGCAGGCCTCAGTGCAGCAAACTCCGACCACAACAGTTTCCCACACATCGGTCGCTACTTCCGTCGGCTCTCACCGGGCTTTCCTTCCCCACCCACCAGACGTGGGACGTCGTCCTACCGCCTGGTACCCAGCTTGATCGTGGGGGGCGTTCGGCCATTCTTTGAACCTAGCGCATACAGCAGTTCTACTCGGCCAGATCAAAAACCTCTAGCTGCTGTTGGCTACCACTAGCCATTCCGCATCCATTAGGGGGGGGGGTGTCATGAGCTTGGTCCGACTAGTGGCACTCTTCCGAAGCCACGTGAAGGCCGCAGCTTAAAGTCAAGATATCTGGTTAGGGTCGAGAGCAAAACCCTTCTTGGTTCCCGTCAGTCTTGCACCTCTCCTCCCCAACTCTATTATGTAGGGGACTTGGGAGTCCGACGTACCAGGCTCTTCGGAACTATTAAAGACTATCTGGTCCCCACCACCAAACACCACATACACTGATTCCAACACCACCACCAATAATACCTCCCCACCACCACACCACCAACACGACCACCACAGTTTCCAATACCACCACCATCAATACAACCACCACAAACGACAACAACTCTACCATTACATACTACCTGATCACAACCACCACAAAAACAACTACCATAGACACTGCCTCCAACATCATCACCATCAACACCTCCACAACAACCGAGAGCAACTATACCATTACAGACTACCTTATCCCCACCACCACACCACCAATACCACCACCAGCAACACCACCACTACAACCGACAACAACTCTACCATCACAGACTACCTAGTCCTCACCACCACACCACACCACCACCACCATCAACACCTCCACCACAAACGACAACAACTCTACCATTACAGACTACCTTATCCCCACCACCACACCACCAATACCACCACCAGCAACACCACCACTACAACTGACAACAACTCTACCATCACAGACTACCTAGTCCTCACCACCACACCACACCACCACCACCATCAACACCTCCACCACAAACGACAACAACTCTACCATCACAGACTACCTGGTCCCCACCACCATCAACACCTCAACCACAACCGACAACAACTACCATTACAGACTACCTTGTCCCCACCACAACACCACACCACACCACCACCACCACCAACACCTTCACTACAAACGACAACAACTACCATTCCAGACTACCTAGTCCCCACTACCACCACCACCACCACCACCACCATCAACACCTCCACCACAAACAACAACTACCATTACAGACTACCTAGTCCCCACCACCACACCACACCACCACCACCATCAATACATCCACTACAAACAACTCTACCATTCCAGACTACCTAGTCCCCACCTGGTGCATGTTGGCCATCTCGTCCTTCCTGTCCTGGACATGCAGTGTCCTACTTCTGGTGCTGGCCTGCACAGACTGGTGCTGTCACGTGACGTCAAGCATGCGAGTCGTGCCCAAAATAACCATGGTCTTAGGGGCACTTAGTGGTGAGTAGTGGCAAAGTAGTGGCGCTAAGTGGTGAGTAGTGGTAAAGTAGTTGCACTAAGTGGCAAAGTAGTGGCACTAAGTGGTGAGTAGTGGCAAAGTAGTGGCACTAAGTGGTGAGTAGTGGCAAAGTAGTGGCACTAAGTGGTGAGTAGTGGCAAAGTAGCGGCGCTAAGTGGTGAGTAGTGGTAAAGTAGTGGCAAAGTAGTTGCGCTAAGTGGTGAGTAGTGGCAAAGTAGTGGCGCTAAGTGGTGAGTAGTGGTAAAGTAGTGGCATAGTAGTGGCAAAGTAGTGGCAAAGTAGTGGCGCTAAGTGGTGAGTAGTGGCAAACTAGTGGCGCTAAGTGGTGAGTAGTGGCAAAGTAGTGGTGCTAAGTGGTGAGTAGTGGTAAAGTAGTGGCATAGTAGTGGCAAAGTAGTGGCAAAGTAGTGGCGCTAAGTGGTGAGTAGAGGCAAAGAAGTGGCGCTAAGTAGTGAGTAGTGGCAAAGTAGTGGGGCTTTTCATTGAGTAACTTAAAACATTGGCCACGCTGGTACTGGTACTAGCTATGCATAGGGCAGATGTAGTAAAGTTCATATGTTTCTTGTCTTCGCATATGAAGGGATAATATGGTAAGCACTTTGCCCAGCCGCCTTTATTTTCCCTAACGAGAGTTAGGTACCCATCTGAGCTGGTAGCGTTCCGATGATTTTATACCAAATTCGAACTCGAGAGTTTCGAGTTAATAGTCTAGCGCTCTACCACTATGCCACGCCGTCCCATGCTTGCACTGTATACTGACATTTAAATATTGCATTATGTAGACAGTTAAAACATTATATTTTGTACGTGTTTTATCCCAGGGGCCCTAGCCATCACTGGATGTGTTCTAGTACTGTTGGACACCTACGTGACCCGCCTACTTACTTCTGCCAGTGACGTGTATCCGGGGTACTGCTTCTACCTGACTCTGTCAGCCGCCATCTTTCTTCTGATGGCCGGATGTCTGGTGCTTCACGTCAAGCGCCGAAACAAGATCGCGCCGGAAAAACCGGCTCCGTCTAGCCGTGGCGAGGCTGTAGACCAAGCTTACACGGTCATGCCGGCTTACATACCGGAGCAGTACTTCGCCAACCCTCACAACCCGAAATACACAAGCCAACCCGTACACGCCAGCACTACCTCGCACTATGAAGTAACAAAGAGGGACAACTCTAAATCATCTCATGCTACAACACAAACTCTTTATGATCCCCAACACAGCGGCAAGCTTGCAGTAACCATGGCGACACAGACGCTGAAAAATCCCACCAAGAAGCAGCCATCTTTAACCACTTCCACGCAAACGAAGGCAGCTAAAATAAAAGCAGCCTCGGCGCAGACGACGTTTAACGTGAATGATGATCCAATCATCGTTAGATCCCCACCAGTGTTGACCTCTGAGAAAACTTGGACAGAACTGAACAAATCAGCCTCGGTGGAGTCCCCTTACTACTAGAAAATTACAAAAAGTCATTAAAGGGAAATAATCACAGATTTTTTTTTCTTTTTTTCTTTAATTTAATTATTCTTAAATCCTGTTTCAATTGCTCTTAATAGTTTAAAATTTCAAAATGCATTTTACGGAAATATAAGAGTGTTTATAATAAACGGGACGTTATTTGCGTTGTTTTGTTTAGATTATTTTCAAATAAGAAAACTTCTTACGAACCCAAGTTAAAGTAGATCATTTTAAATAGCATATAAAATTAGCAATAAGACTTTATATTTAAAAAGCGTATATTATACTTTTACGTATTTCGAAATTATTGATAGATACAGATTGATAATATACAAAAGTAAATGATTATTAATACCTGTGACCTACTTAGGTCTGGTAATGTTTATTTTTACATTTGTTATAATACCTTATATGGTCTGTGGTGCAATGACCGGTTTTTTCCGCTGTCTTACTAAGAGAGTATTAGACTCAGAAATTTTCCATCAAGATATGATTGATTGATTCAGACCAGATGACCACCCCAACCAATGGCCTTATGATTTGAAGGTGACCTTCCATGTTGCCTAAGTCTATTGTGGTTGAGGTGTTGATGGTGGTGGTGTCTCGAGGCAGTTCATTGACCAGACGTCGTTGAGAGACATAAGCCCTGTGTGTTGCCGTGTAGTACTAAATTGTTTAAGTAGCATATTCTTATATTACTTGTGGTTAAGTAATTCTTTATGCTTATAGCAGCGTTGTGTAAACTGTGGTGATTTTTCTGAAGTGTTAAAAGCTGTGATAGTGTATCATATTATTATTTCCCACAAATTGTAAGTTGGGTTTTGTTCATTCTGTAAATCTATTTTATTTCTGTATAAATCTAGTGTTCTGCCACGACTTTGTACACTCATTACAAGTTATATGCAGATTAAATGTATTGTTGGCATCAGTAGTTTCTCTAGTGTTTCCCCTAGACATCAATTACGAGTCCTAGCGAACTAGTGTGTTAACTTTCTTTTATTTAGGCTTGTCGCCATCTGTGTATAATCAGTTAAACGAATCCGGGAGCGTTCGCCAACTATCTGGCTGATAGATTGGTGTCCGTTACATACCACATAACTTATAACTATACTTTTGTATATTAACAATTATTTTATAATACGTAAAAAATATAATATCGCTTTAATGTAAAGTGATTTGAGTTGTTGTTCTTAAAACATTTTTGACAGCTTTTCTTTTGGTCTTTGGGTTTGATCTTGCTTCATTTTCCCAGAATTTGTATGGATCCAAACTTGGAACTTAGGAACTAATCGAGTATTATACTCACTTTTTTTCTGCCATGCTATTATAATCATGTAAAAACAAAATGGCAGTCAACAAAACAACACTTCATCATCCTACAATAAACAGAGCATGCTCTTTTAAGTTTAAATCAAATCAGTAAGTAGAGAGAGATTTGCCGACTAAAAATTACCTATTGATTTAGAACACGGGTTCCCAAACTGGGGGTCGCAACCCCCCTGGGGGTCGCGAAGGGCTTTCTGGGGGGGGGGGGGGGCGCCAACTGGTAGACAAAACCTTAGCAATGAAAAAAAAAACATATTTATTTAGAAGAATATCTGAAATTCGGCCTTACTAACATCAATGCAAATGGAATAGAGAAGTAACAATGCGTACTGTGCAAAGTTGTTCTCATCAACGAGTCTATGAAACCTTCAAAACTAAAACGTCATTTGAGACGAATTATTCGGAACACACACAAAAAAAAAACCTATAAAATCAAGCTTTCACCATTGTTTGCTTTTCGAGTTGATGAATCAACAGCCGTGAATTCGTGTTATATTCATTCAGATGATAGTAAAGAAGAGAAAGAAGAGTTGCTATATGTGAAGATATCACGGAGAAAATAAATACTGGATGATTAAAAATGGGAAAACGGCTGTGGGGTTTGTAGGGAAGGTGTGCCATCTATGTTTGGGTCGAGATCGGGCTTTCAGAAAACATCAAAAGATTTAGCTCACTAACCAAGGGGAATCCATCGATGATTCACCGTTATGTCCTCGCCAGCAAGACTCTTCCGACTCCATTGCTAACGCTTATGAAAGTCGTAAATTATATTAAATCTGGAGCCCTTAACACCCGTCTGTTTAAAGAACTGTGCAAAGATATGAATAAAGATCACGAGGTTATGCTTTTCGACATTACAGTACGCTGGCTGTCAAAAGTAAGTTGTGAATCGTGTTTTTGAATTGACAGATGAAATCAAGTTGTTTTTGTAAGTGCAAGGGAAACAACATCTTTTGATATACTTTAACGACAAAGAGTGGTTGGAGAGAGTAGAAGTCTTAGCAGACATATTCAAACATCAACATAAGCTTGACCTGAAGCTTCGGGAAAAATGACACGTTACCCATCCTCTGCTTCCCTTGATGTTGCCAGCATTCCCAATGAATTACAAGATGGATTCTTAAATGTGCGGTAAGATTCCGCGTAAGATGAAAAACTGCTCACACAATTTTGGTGTAGTAAGCAGCATTCATATCCAAACGTGAAATTGATTGCCTTTCGAGTTTTAGTTCCTTTTGTGTCTACATATCTTTGCGAGAATAAATTTTCAACACTTCTCCAATTAAAAAACAAAACAAAGAAGTAAATTAAATGTTAAGAATGACATGAGGTTGGCGCTAACAAAACCTCATGAATGTCGAGGCTATTTAATAGCATGCAGTTTTACTCATCGTATTAAACAGTTGTCAATAATAATTCATATTGAAAGTCTACTAGAAAATCTAATTTTAGTACTATTTACTTTCCTTACTAATTTCGACTTTTTAATTCTATGGGGGTCGCGGGTCACTTAATTTTTATAAAAGGGGGTCGCCACAAGAAAAAGTTTGGGAACCACTGATTTAAAATAATAATACTCATATAATAAAATTTATGTAATAATCCAACAATAAACTGCTATTGTACTTTTTAAAAATGTTTTTAAAAAAATATATGAAGTAGGCGCCTTTATACTAAAGTTTTGTACCTTAAGTTCGTAAATGAAGCATACTTTGTGTGTGATTTCATTCTCAATTGTCCCTTTTGTTTTTCAAAGGGATCCAAAATTAAATACTAGATTTAGAATTAGAAATGTACGTTAAACTTATACTAATTTTATTTGTAATAAATAGAAAATCGATATATAAAGGTTTGCATTTTTTAAATATTTATCATTTTTTTGTATGTAAAAAATGAATAGGTAAGTAAATAAATCAATTTATTAAGCTAAAATTGTTTACAGTATACTACTGACGTTTACAAACTGATCTTTATAATTGAAGCATTTATCACAAAACTTTTAAACACGAAAAAAACAACAAAGATATTACGTTTTATTACTTCCCTTAGCTAGAGTCTTTTTTTTTTTTTTTTTTTTTTTCTGTGACATAGTTTACTCCCTTGGCAACATTGGTGGAGTGGAGGGGAAGGGGCTAACTTTAGTTTTACTGTTATACGTAAAGAACTAAGCAGTACTAAGAGGTAGATTTATGTCATACTTAAATAATGAACATACGATATTGTGGGTAGAATTAGCCTCACTAGAATTGTTCATCGAACATAAATTATCACACGAAGAAAAAAATATAACGAGTCGTTTCTTTTACACACAAGAAACATTTTTTTTTTTTAATAGTAAGATCAGCGTCATCTCGCAAAACATGGAGGTAACAAAGACTGTACCAAACGAACCAGCAAATGGTCATACTTTGTAAGGACACAAAGATAATAATAAATAATTGAGGTTTTTTTTAAAATTTAGGCAGACTTTATTCCTAATGCCTTTTCCGTTATAATTAAGGCATTAAATAAAAATTGCATTAATGTACATAACATTTTTAGGTTTTGGCTTTTTTTCTGACAGAAGGTTTGACTAAATTATCTTGGAACTAAATACACTAATAAACTATAATACAAACCTTCATGAAACATTAATTTAAAATGTATTATAAATATAACTTGCAATATTTTAAGTGGTTAAATGTCACAATAACTGTTAATTTTGGATCCCCCCCCCCCCCCCCCCCCCGACTCCTGTCACTTGCATTTGACCTTCACCCCCTTTACTGTTATGCCTTTCAATTTTGTATAATCACATACATGACATCTTGTAAATATTCATTGTGTACATTTGCAAAACCTTTCGTTTTCATTTGATGTTCGAAATTATGTCAAGAATTTGATGTTGATGTACTTGTTTTAAATTGCAAATAAAAGTATTAAAAAAAAAAAAAAAAAAAAAAAAAAAAAAAAAAAAAAATGGAACACCAAAAAAAAAAAAAATTTTTTTGGATCCCCCCGAATAAGGGACATTAATAGATAATGAAACGAGGAGTACCTAATGTTCATTATTTGTAATGTAATGGTTTCGTTGGTTCTTTTCTTCTGTTAAAATATTAAATAAACCGTATGTTGATTATTTAAGTATGACATAAATCTGTCTCTTATTGTAATCAAATCTTGGCTAAATGATTAGCAAAGAACATTCATCTTTACTGGATCACAATTTTGACTAGTACTGCTTAGTTCTTTTAGTATAACAGTAAAATTAAAGTTAGCTCCCCACCGATGTTGCCAAGGGAGGAAACTGGAAGGGCAAAAAAAAAAGTAACTTACAGTTGCTATTCAACTAAAAACAATAAGTTAATGAAGACTGTAGGGGAAGTAATAAAACGATATCTCTTTTTTTCTTCATGTTTTAATTTATTTTATGATAAATGCTTCAATTGTACTTCAAAGATCAGTTTGTAAGCACATGTAGTATACTGTAAACAATGGCAGTTTAATAATGTGAAATATGTGCTTAGCAATTCATTTCTACAAACAAAAAGTGATAAATATTTAAAAAGTATTAACCTTTATATATCGAGATTTTCCTTATTTTGAAGAAGACAAAATAGTAGTTTTCTTAAATTGCGGGTTAAAATTGAGTGTTACTGTTAAATTTTGGAACCCTTTGAAAAAAAGGACAATTGAGAATCAAATAATA